GTTTTCCCTGAAAAAGATTGTGAAGGTCATCCATGGACAGAACCATTATTGGTGAGTTTGCTAATAAAGTTTTAATGTTCTATAAAAAGTCATGGAGAAAAGGGTACAAACAACTACAGTAAGCAAATTAAAAGCTTGATGTAATTTGTGTTTCATAATTTCTGAACTTCAGAGTACTGAGCACCGTTGAGATCCAGTTCTAATGAAACCTTCTAGGAGTTTGTATTTCATAAATTTAATTTAAATAAAGGGTGAAACTTGGAAAGTAAATTTCCTTTCACTGACTAATATTTTCAACAATATATTTTAATTTTTTGTATCTTTGATTATTCATATATCAAAGTATTGTGGAGGAGGGTAGTAATGTAAGTACTCTCACTACGCAACACAGTTTAAATGACCAACAATAGAAAGAGGTGAATTTACAACTGTAAGTTTAAAACATTTCCACTCAGAAAGGACCTTCATTTCTAAAAAGACAAAGAGGTGGGGAGAAAGTCTCATTTGCCTTTAATGTACATTACAGGTGTCATTTCATGTTGTTGACATGGTAGCGTTTTACTATGAGGTGAGTGTAAGTGTTCCTCTTGGGGAGCAGAGAAAATGAGACTTGATAAACAGTGTCTCAATGTACTTGACCTTGAGTTACACATTGCTTTTCAAAACAGCTCGAGGTCTTGTTCACTGCAGCCTTTAGAAACCACAATAATTTGAGGTTCACCCTATGCTTTTAACAAGTACACAGCACTAGCCAATCATAACCTCTGACAACTTCTGTAAATCTTGAAGTGTTGTAATGCAACATGGCAAGAACATCTCTTCCTTTGGCTGTGTAATCAATCAGTTCGTTCATGATCAAAATTTTAAATAGAATATTCATTGTATCAACCTAACACCCAATCAAAGAAACTTGCTGATATCTATCAAACTAAAAAGTTTTTTACAATTATCCATTTTGTTTCAGACAATTGAGAACTGTATCTTACAGAGCTCATATCTGGCTGGTTCTTTCCCTGATTTTAGATGTAATGGATACCACAGGAATATTTTCGTCTTACAAAGTATGGGTGAAATAAAAGTTTTATACTCATAGAGTCAGAGAAAGTCACTGGCCTAGTGTTGTCCTCTAGTAGCGAACTTAAAAGGAAAGATTATTTTCATGAATTACTTCATTGTCAATCTTTTCCTGATAACTGAAACAAAGTGTCTCGGTTAATCGTGTTGTATTTATCAACTATCTCCAAATGACTCTTGTGACGTTTATTTATAAATTTATTTATAAATTCCATGAGTACCACATGGCCTCGTCTTCCATACATAACATATACTACAGATGGATACAAATATACAGCTTGCGATGTATCTACAGTAGGATCACAATTTGTTTGTGGTATGCGTGACACGCATCTGTGTCTTGCTTGTTTTCTATGCATATAAAAGCACGCACATGTTTTCTTACTTGGGAAGGTCTTCATCTTTGCCGATAGTCTGAGAATTACATCGTGCAGAAAAAGATATGTAGGAAGGAAAGTGTGTGTATGTAAATGCAAGTTTTATGGCAACCATCATTAACATGCTTTTTTTGTAGGATTTGGTGATCTGAAAGCTGAGCCAATTCTATTGGTCTCTATAAAGTATTTAGAAGATTAGATGGCACTTTGCTACATCCATCCAAATTGTACTTAATTGAAAAATGGTATCCTGTGTATGCTTTTTCCTTTTCAAGTACTGCCATTTCATTTGGCATGGGGATTTGCAGTAGTTACTACTTCATCTAAAATATGTCCTGTGCTGGTTTCTTGTGGTGCTCTGGTTTTCAGAAAACACTGCAGTTTCAAGGAGAAACCAAATAAATAGTTATGATAAACCATTAGCCTTTTGCTATCCCATAAAAACTGTTCTATTTTTTTTTAATTTATTAAAATCTAACCCCCAAGTACTTACTGTAGTGGAAGAAAAGGTGATTTACAAGGATACATGCTGTGGCCGGTCAACTTTGAACTTGGAGAAAATCAATAGTTTAATTGCTCCACTATTTCTTGTTAATCTAGTTACTTCTATGCTAATCTAAAGCTTGGTTATCATAAGCTATGAAATTTTTCTCTGTGTTTTTGTGCTTTGTGATCTATATTAGCTTGTTTTGGTTTGATGTGGATCATTTTGTTGCCTATATTCTTTTTGTGGGGAAGGAATAGATTGTGGTCTTTTGACTTGCAGCATATCTGTGTAGTTTCCAGACCCAACAAGTTCACAGGCTGAATAATTGTAGAAGATAGAGAAAACATAATGAAACTCCCAAATAATTTGCCTAAGAAATATACAAGAGTGCTGGAAATTAATAAATATTTTTAGAGCTCCTGTTCTAACTAAAAAATAATCAACCCCACCTTTGATTTTTATAGCACCCCCAATGTTTGTGTTTCTATGCTGTTCCTTTATCACTCATATTATACCTGTAGACCAGCACTCCGTATCTGTATGGATTGGAGAACTTAGCAAACAATGAACAGTTTAGTGGCTAAACCAGATTTGGAAGGTGGTCAGGTCAAAAAAGAACGTTTATGGCTTTTTCATTAAATGTAAGTTTCTTTCTGGTCAACAGTTTTCTTAAATTAGAATGGAATTCTTTCTTTTGCTTTTGGATATCTTAGGTCTCTTCAAATTTTTCATAGCATATTCAGAAATAAGCTTAGTACTTAGCAAAAATATTTTGATTCCCAGTAATTCCTCTCATTCCTGTTGTGTGACAAATCCACATTTGTGATCAGATGTTTCACTCTTTTCTGCCTCTGACATTTTTATACATGGAATTGGTTCATTCTTTTGCTTGCTGTGGCTCACTGCTCCATTTTAATGTTGTTGTTTCTCAAAGAAAACCCTAGAGTAACACCATGAGCAAAGTCCAACTATTTTTTTTTTTAGTTAATTATGAATTCTGTCTTAATTTATCTGAAGTGTATTCAGCAGTGGTAGTTTTGTTTATAGGATTCTTGAGCTGTTGTTAGAAAGAAGAGTCTAGAAATAAAATTTGCCATATTTTCTCTTTTTTTTTCTACTTAGAATAGTTTTTCTGTGTGTTTGATTTTTCATGGAATGTTGTGATTTTGAGTATTGAGAAAAAAAAAAAATGCATGGTATATATAACCAGCCAAAGAAATAATATGTAATGAATGTTTCTCATTTTATCTGAAATGTCAATTTTAAACTTATCTTAAGCTCTTTATTAGGAGATATCATTTTACTTTATATTGAGGCTCCATAGACAGAGGTTTGAATACTGTTCTTGGAAACATCTTTCTCCAAATTTAGTACTGATAAATCCAAACTCAGATTTTGGCAACCATGTAACTTTGATGACAAAATTAGAAATGAGCAAAATAATATTTTGAACATCCTCTCTTTTTCTTTGTCCAAAGTGATTTCTGACCTTATTTTTGTGTTAAATTGCAGCTCAATCCTCAGAATTAAGAACGTGTTTTCCAATATGTTCTTCTATACATTTGTCTAATTAAATAGATTTTATATTTACATAATGTCTATATTTACATGATGTCTGTTAAAAATGAAACTTGTAAGTTGCAACTTCTGTGTGAACATCTCTTTGGTTGTTGATGTTGAAGTTATATTTTATGGTTAAAATTCACCATATTTCTTGTTATGATTTAGGTTTTAGCTGATGTGGGGGTTTTAGTCAGAATCAGTGTGTATGCTGGAAAGCTGTTTTTTAATGCCACAATTCTGAATGTGAGTTTAGAGTATTTACTTTCACTATGCTCTACTCATGCTGGTACGCTAATTCTGAGAGAGATTTTATTATTATCTTTGCTAAATGCTGTGGCAGAATCTCTATCATTATCACAAATGTGACCGAGTATCCCTAAAAATTACATATAATCAAGGTCTTACTCCAAAAGAATAAAATTTAGAGATATGTGACTCTGTGTTTAGACTTCATGACATCCACATGTGTTGAGAGTTTCATTATGTCTGTATATGATTCACATGTTTTATTTTAGAATAAGCTAAGAATTGAATTATATTCTTAAATGCTGGTTTCTGGTATGCCAAAAGTTACTATAAAGTAAATTATTAAAACAAAAAAAACTTTATTAATATTAAGTGCTAAATATAAATGATAGAGTAACATAACTTTGCTTCATTAAAGGTAAAAGGAGATAAAGATGAAGAATATGATCAGTCACAAAGCCATGGATTTTCAAATGTCATTCCCCTGTACAGTGATAACGTACCTCTTTCATATGCAGTGAAAAAAGATGTGAAAATTATTGTACCCTAGTACCTCTGCCTTTTTTTTTTTCTGTCATTATTTAAGCCATTGTGTGATGTAAAAAAGTCACTGAATTTTGTCTGAGGGAGTCAGACTTTTCTCCTAAGTGTGCTTGTTGTTGTTGTAAAACCGATCATAGAATCACAGAATCGTAGAACATTTTTGGCTGGAAGAGACCTTTTGTATGAGTCCCTCATATAAAATACTATATGAGGACTTTCTGGGCAACTCACACACTCAGAGCAGAAGTTTTTCTAAAGTCTTCAAAAAAAGTTAAGCATCTTATAAAGGCTTTAAAACTTTATGTGTCTGACAGGTGTTATTTTATGGTGACTTTTTTCAGTTTAAAATGTTCTTCTTTTCCAAATGGTGCCCTACAGTTATGAGCAGGGTAAAGCCTTTAGCCTGTCCACTTTTCAACAGGTCATAGAACCCTCTTTTATGGAGCATGCACAACGAATGCACTGGGGAAACAATCATGTTGATGCTGCGCTGTAATTTCTTCCAGGCAAAACATCCTACTCTTAAACCTTTGGGCAAGGCCAATACAGTAGTCTAGACATGCATAACGCACCATTAAAAAAGTAAGACCAAATAGCATCTGTTGGGAGCAGTAAATCACTGAAGTCACGGTGTATAATGGCTAAACAAATAAATAAGAGTATCCTTTCATTTAATTATAGTATTGATTTAAATGTCCTTTTGGTTTCAGTTGGAGAGAATCCCAGGGAATGCCCTGCCCTCACTGATTTTATCTGTGGGAATGAGAACTGCATAGAGTCTCACTTCATCTGTGACTATAAACCAGACTGTGAAGACCTATCAGATGAAGCTGACTGCAGTAAGTATCTCTTTGTATCTTAACATAATCCCCAGTCAAAATTCTAACTTTAAATTCTGTAGCATAGCTTAGGTGAATTGACACAGCTGCTCAGAAGGTAATTACAGTCCCCCAGCACAGAAGGTCTGACATTTTCAGATCTTCAACAGCAGTTGCTGCAAAAAATTGTCATGTGTGATTCAGTTGCAAAAATGTAACTTACTCAAACCAAAGATTAAATATCAAAAAAACAAACAAAACCCCATAAAAAACTACACAAACCAAAACAAAACCACCTATAAGGACTAAAAACATTTTCATGGAATAAAATCCATGGGTTACAGTACAAATGAACCCTGAGAAGAAACGCAAACTCATTTATTAAGTCAAAAGCATGTTCAGCTGTCAATGTTGAATGAAAAAACTAAGGGAACTAATGCACAATAACATTTAGGCATGATTCTGCTATAAAAAGTGATTAAAAACAAGCCTGTGTTTCCTTCCAGATTAATCCTGTCTTTGTGATCTCAGTTGTATCACTACGTGTTTATCATTCTTTGTTCTTGCTGCTAGTAGAGCAAGAAAATATTACTCTATTACAAGACAGTTGGGCAAAATCCAGTCTGTTTGTATTTTTGCAGTCCTAGTGAATACTGAGACAAAATTCATCTGTAGAAATTCTTTTCTATCACAGTTTGAGATGGAAGGACACAGCTCAATTTTTGGGATCTGGATCAAGTTAACAGGCTTTCCAATTCAGAGTTGAAACTCAGAAGCAGTGAAACATTGTGCCTTTTTTCCTGCTCCATGCCTTTGTGTATTTACAGATGCCGTCCAGGCCAGACTTTTGGAGTGGGACCCTAAGCAGTCCATATATATACAGTTCATTATATAGTTGCAGTACAAGTGAACAGTCTAAATCTTGAAGTTGGAGGGCCAGATTCTGCTGTATTGCAGATATGATCAAAAGCAACTTTGGCAGATAAAGTAAATGCATCAGATCCATTGAAAACAACCAATACTGGGTGATTGTTTGAAATTCTAAGGCATTTCCTCTTGCATGGGATCGCTAAATGAACCTTTATTAGGTGGTGTAAATTATATTGGTTTAGTCAGACAGCAGACTCACAACCTGAAATACATGTGAGGATGTAACTATAGAAGATTTAACTTGGAGTTTCTCACTCTCTATCCTTTTCCTGAAAATAAATAACAGTTCTGAAGTAGATATGCTGAAGCCAGTCTGTTTCTGGCTTCTACATCCTACAAGTTCTTAACATTCCAGTGAATTTTGTGAATCATCATGAAAATTAATCTACATTGAATGATAACTTTAAGTTAACTTAGCTTTTCCTAAGTAGTTTGTAAGAAAATATAGATTTTAAACACAAAATATGTATTTCTCCTATATAATATTAATATTTTTTTCAGGAGTTAGATAAGGTAAGTGCAGCAAAATAGTCTATGAAGTCACCCTTGTAATATTTTACAGACCTAACGGAGACACAGTAAGTCTGAATTGCTGACCGATGTAACCCACTCTGTAAAGATATTCAGAAAACTAAGACACTTGATTTATTCTGTAAATACTGTTACAGGATATAGTAGTTTCACTGAAGGGTAGGAGGGAGTGTTGGGAGGAGGTGTCCTGTGTTTTCTGGAAGGGCCATGATAGCATCAACTCTTTTTTCTTAGTCAGATAGCAAATGGAAGCATTTCAAGTAATAAATGATCTTGAAACACAGTAAAGCAACACAGTCTTTGCTATACTTTGCTATGCAGAAAATATTTTCCAAGAAAAGTAGTTAAATAAATACTGATATTCACTTAAAATAAATAAATTATCCTTATATTGGAGATGGAAAGTCTGTGGTTACACCAAAATGTTTTCATCAATATTTAGTCTTTCTGTTGCTGCAGAACTTACAAAATATCAAGTTAGCAGTAGAGGAGAGAGATATGTAATCTGGCATACAGAATACGCAGATAAGCCTCAAATATAATATTTCCCTATCTGTTATATCTTAGTTTCGACAAATGAGGCCTTACATTTGGGTAAACACACCTTTTCCCTGTGTGTATACCTTACAGACAGGAATAAAAAACATGCATGGGCATGTAATACTTTCCAGATACGTACACCTCAAATTTTTAATGAAAAGGTAAGAGAAGTTATTTAATCAGAAAAGAGAACAGGCACAGAATCCTTCACGGTTTATCCTGCCTCGTTACAAGTGGTTATGGCCACATTTGTCTGCAGTTTTCTCATTTTCTGTGAGCTTAAGGTCTGAGTTTATTTCACATTCTACTGTAGTTTTATACTAGTGTAACTCTAAAGCAGTAGATGGACTATAACCTACTCATCAGAAATTCCACTGTGCAGGATTTACAACAGACTGTGTATGAAATTAATTGTATCCAAGTAAGCTGGTGGACTCTTTTTTTAATTATTATTTTTTTACCTGAACTAATGGAAATTATTTACTCTATGGTTCGTTCAGTCCAGTCAGGCAATCTGGCAAAAATTTCAATCTCTTTCGGTAACCTCCTAGAAGTACTGAGGTGAAAAAACCACACATGAAAGCAGTTTCAGTTTTCATGAATTTCAGCCAATTATTCACCCAGATTTGATTAATAGCAAACCTCAGTGTTGATGAACTAACTAGAGGAGTGCTTGAATTATTGAAATAAAAGTAATTTTTTAGATAAATGGAACAATCCTCTTCTGATGGCTTCTAAATAGGCTCCATTTACCCATAAAATAAAACATACGCAGCAGGTGCAGATACGTCTGGTGACTCTGTCAACCCTATAAACATTGTTCATAAATATTTATTAATAATAGCCTTCTGAATGCATTGTTAAGATATTAGGGTAAAATTCCTGAAGTCAGGTAATCTATCATGACCAGTATTCCAAATGTGTTGGGGCTTTGATCTTGGTAGAACTGCACAAGATAATTGTACTTGTTTCGATTAAAGGGTTCACTTCTTAGCTCTACCTGTGTGTGATAGTGTTTGGTGCTGGATTTAAGCTTTATTAGACTTACATGTTGCTTGTAATACAGTGTCAATGTGGCCGTTCAGTGCAGTTGCATATTACTTCCATGATTCATGAAGGCCATGTTGTGAATAGCACTAACACGAGCACAAAATGATTGAGGTGGGAAGGCACCTCTGGAGATTGTCTAGTTCAACTTCCTGCTCAAAACATGTAATGAAATTTTGGTGGAGGAAAAGCTGGACGTGAGCCAACAAGGTGTGCTTGCAGCCCAGAAGGCCAATTGCATCCTGGGCCGAATCAAAATGAGTGTGGTCAGCAGATTGAGAGGTGGTTCTGCCCCTCTGCTCTCATGGACCTTTCCTACGAAGACAGGCTGAGAGAGTTGGGATTGTTCAGCCTGGAGAAAAGAAGGCTGTGGGGACACTTTGTTACAACTTTTCAGTACTTAAGGGAAACCTATGAAAAAGATGGGGGCAATCTTTTTAGCAAGGAGTAATGGTTTTAAACCAAAGGCAGCTAGAACATGAGGAAGAAGTTTTTTACAGTGAGCGTGGTGATGCATAGAAACAGGTTGCCCAGAGAGGTGGTGGAGGCCCCATCCCTGGAGACATTCAAGGTCAGGCTTGGTGGGGCTCTGAGCAGCCTGATCTAGTTGAAAATGTCCCTGCTCACAGTAGGCGGGCTGGGAAAAATGACCTTTAAATGTCCCTTCCAACCCAACGCATTCTGTGATTCTATGATTAGCTAAACAGAATTCTTTCCATTACCATGTATGATATGTTAATCAGAGCCTCTTGCATAAAAGAGCTGGAATGATAATTTACTTCTTGCTATATTTTCAGGCTACTATGCAAGTATTCCTGGAAGCTGTAATTTTGAAACACAAGACCAAGAATGGACCACTGCATGTGGATTAACACAAGACTCCAGTGATGACTTTGACTGGAATATTAGCAACAGTGCTGTCGTGGGACAAACAGGTCCTGATACTGACCATACACCAGGTATTGACATGTGTCCTACATCAGTTTTGGGAAAATGGAATATTCACCGAATTCAAAGAAAATTCCCGTAGATTAGCACCAAGACAACAGCAAATCTCAGTGTGATCAGCTGAGCTTATTGTATATGCAGAAAAATCATAGTGAGCAGTTAGCAAAGCAGTTCCAACAGGCACTTAAGATGTTCACTTTTGTATTAAAATTACAATAGAGAGTACATATCACAAAAACACCATGGAAAAATATGTTATATGTTTTAATATATTGAGTCTTTTCTAGTTACTATCTAGTAACTTTTGTGTTTTATTTAAACACAAAACCTGGAATATTAGCTTATTACCAATGTTTTTAATCTTTGCTCTTTTCGGAGTGGTCCTGATTATATCATTCCTTATACTCTACTTCAGCTTGATACATTTATTTACTAATTTCCTAGACAATGAGCTGCTAAATATACTATGAAGATACTAATTAATCATCTCATCTGGTAAAAAGCAAATCTCTTTTTAAAACAGTACGAATGCAATAACTGTCAGCAATAATATCATTAGATATGAAACTTTTAGTACAATAAAGGAGGATATATTTGTCAATAATTATGGGTCACTATGACATTCTCTCAGATCTTGCTCATAAGTGCCCTGACAGTGAATTCCCGCACTGCTGAATAGGTGAAAACTTGTGGGTAAACAAAGGTGCAAATTTAAGTCCAGCCATCCATTTCTCTCTGGTCACCTGAACACAAAGTGTAGAGCTTGTATTTACCAGCACCTTGACTGACACCACACAATGACCCTGACAGCGCTCTAGTCAATCTCTGGAAAACCTCGTTGCATTGTAGGCATTTTTATAGGCAGTTCCATGAAACTATGAGGTTTGTGTTTCCAATATCACCTTGCACCCAGGCAAAACAACATTAGGCTATCTTGCTGTCTCTGGCTAACTAGTGTTTCTTCTGAGAAGACAGCTTAATCTGCTATTATCTCCCTGTCTCCCAATCACCAGCTCAGTGTTTTCCTCACCAATTACTAGTATTTTGTTCATTCCTAATAGAAGTCACTGGATTAAAATGAAAGCTTTGTATGAAACCTTGTGTGTCGGGCCCTAATACTCATGTTTTCTGTAACTGCAGTGTGAATAGAAAACATAGGACCAATACTTGTAGAAGATGTTAATTTGATTAATAGGGACGAAGAAAAAACAGAGGGGTTCAATGTGGTTTTTTTCCTCAGTCTTTCCTCATACTGATAAGCCTTGGGCTGCCCCATCCCCTGAGTTGGAGGACCACAAGCATGGGAACAGTGACTTTCCATCTGTGGACACTGAAATCATCAGGGACCAGCTGTATCAACTGAATGTTCACAAGTCCATTTTCAGATTATGTAGCTGATGAAGTGCAGAACATTTCAACCTCAAAAACTTCAGCTACACGCAAAATCAGAGTTGCATAACTTTTGCTATATATAATATGTCATTTTCCAATGTATCTTATACACCAAGCAGCCAAGTACCTTGATATTCCAGTTTCCTGGTCAGTATACAACTATATGGGACTATTGAATTCATTAAAAATATAATAAATCCATGTCATTATATTTCAAATAGCTTTTTCTGTCCTGAGAAAATTTAAGTGTTTCTTGAAAAAGCTTGAGGCATAATATGATACTCAGATAACCTCATCTGAAAACATCACCTCAAATGAGATGGCTTCAGAGACAGCAAGAGAAACTATGAACGTTCAATTGACAGCCATCACAATTTTAAAAAAAAGTCCAAATTCTGAATTTCCTTTGACTGAGATCCACACTAAATAATTCTCACTCTGAACAAATGACCATTTGTAGGTCTGCAAGAATGGCTTGTTGTATAGTTTTTTGAAAGCCCAGTAAATAACTTCATTTTATGAGTGAAAGACCTAAAATTTTGATCAATTTTAGTTAGAAATAACTGCATCTCACTTCACAATGGAAATAGTTTTAGAATTTTCATCCCATTCCAAGAGGGTTTGACACCTGAATTAACACAGCAATAAGAACCTTTTTGATTTTGTTTTCTTAAAATCCGTATTTGCCACATTGCTAAGAAATGCTAGATTATATCTCATATTGATCTTACAGATGAAAAAAGGCTTCTTATTTTTGTTGTAACATAATTTGGTTTTATTGGTGGCAAAGTTGAAGGACAAATGGTTACAAGGGAGGGGAATTCAGTCTTTTACATCAGGAACAAGAATTGAGCCTTAGGGTTAAATCTTTCTTTGGAGTAGTTCAGCTACTCCAAAACAACTACTGACTCATCTCTGATCTTCAGGTGTTGCTTTCTTGGATTTAGGAGAAAGTTGTCGGCTAAGGTCTTCTGTGCTCTGTGCATCACTGCTCAGGACAGCCCCAACAGGTGCCCTCTTCTTTGTGAAAAATCTCTTCACCACAGGAACTTTTGTCATAGACTTCTCTCTATGCAGAATCAAACTTTACTTTTACCCTGGCGAATGGAATTAAAGCGATCACACAGAAATGGCTACTTTTATTTAATAAAAAAGCCCTACTGCAAGTTAGCAGCATGATTTGCCTATTCAACCACTTGGTCTTGCTTGTATGTGCCAATTTTAGTTGGTAGGCCCCTTTCGGGTTGTAGGAGGGCAGCATCTTTTTCTGCTTGGAACTGAAGGATGAATTGTCTTTTATGCTACTTTGTACTTCTTCAGCATCAGCTGAATAATAGGAAGTGTGTAAACTTTGGCCCAGTAAGAAGCCTCAGGTCTTTAATGTGTTCCATACTGCCATGCTGAGTGACAGGGAGGTTTCCTGGGTAAGCACTGTTAGTGAAGGAGCTCCTGACTCCGGCAATGTCAGCCTTCAAACTGATCCTTGGAATCTGTGAGTGAGTGCTTGTGTTTGCAACATGTTAAAAATTTGTTATTCAAATGTGAATCAAATATTTACACAAGGATAAAAAAGGTAGAGTGAGCTCTGAGGAAGGTTATTTTAATATTGTATGTAAAAACCAGAAATACACAAAGTATTTACATGGAAGGTCTCTGTACAACCAAGGTAGGGTATACATGTATGTAGTAAAAGATATCAGTATCTATGTGTGTAAAAATGGCCATGCTCTGAAGCATAAAGTTATATTGAAAAACTATAATTATTATTTTTTTAATCTTTTTATTAAGGTAAAGGACAGTATTTTTTGTATGTTAATTCATCTGCCCAGAAGGAAGGAAACAGAGCAAGGATAATTACCACCAAACTCTTCCCAGCTAGCCTCGGGGTCTGCAGGGTTCGGTTCTGGTTCTGGATGTTTGCCTCTAGGCAAACAGGAGTCTTAAAGGTAAGAGAACAGCACTTCTACTACATCATGACACCGTAATATTTGCTTTAGTAGTATCTGCATTTCTTGTGTCTATAATGAGCAGTACTTCATCACAACATCACTGCAGTTATACCTATAAACAAAGCTTTTGGCAACAAAGTGACAATTCTCTTTTAGTTTTAATTCCACTCAAAGTCTTCTTGCTGCAAACGCAAGAATTAATATTGCACGTTTGACGCCATATCTAAACCTAAGGAACATCAGCACAGTTCTCTGCACAATTCACTCTTTAAAATAATATAGAGGCAGTTTCGAATATTTAGGACAAAAACAAGATGTGGTTTAAAATAAAAGTTTTAAATATATTAATGTTACTGTGTATGGAGAGTGTTTGATAAAAATAAATGGAAACAAAGCATTTAACCATACTACCATTTTAGAGATCTGATCAAGACTCTGATCTGTGGCAGTTTTTTAAATATTGAAAATACAAGTTATGCCAGTTTTACTGTGTGTTACAGAACATGAAAATTCGCATGCACAGTCAAACTCCTGAACTAAATTAATCTGTGTTAAAACTGAGCAAGAATATTTTTGGATTTGGAACTGGAATTAAATCAGGAAGCCTCTACCACTGTTTTTGCACTTATTCTCTTTGTCTTTGGTCTGTTTCTCCGCTGTGAAGAACAATAGCACAATTCCATGGGTTTACAGTGCCGTTCAGGCTGGAGCAGCCTCAGGAGGTCCCTAGGCCAACCCCCTGGTCAGCTACATGCTCACACTAGGTGTCTCAGGAATCTACCCAGTCTTGAAAACTTCCAAAAATTGAAACCGCTCAGGCTCTCTGGGCAAACTCTGTCACTGCTCCGCTGTCCAGCGTGAAAAGGCTTCTCCATATATATATGCAGCCAAAGAATAATATTACCTTTCATTTCACCCTTTGTCTATCTTTTTTTAAAGTATTTTTTTCAGAATGGGACTTGCATCTCCATGTGTTCTCTAGCACCTAGTTAATGCATACTCTGAGTGTTGCTATGAACTTAATTAATAATAACAAAGACAAAAACAGTATTATGTGAAATTAGTATAAGCAGCAGATACTTCTGCTTTACGAGTTTTAAATTACAGTATTTTAACATTTCTTTATATTCAGTACATAAAAGTGCATTCTTCCCAAAGATACTTTGGTTATTTAAGATCAATTTTTAAGAAATGTTCATATTGCAGTCTTGTAGATTTATTATCTGAGTGTAGGTTTTAAAATACTCCACTATATCTTCAAGCCCATTTTTTACAGTTTACATTATTTATCCTTCCATGTACGTAAAGTCTGCACATTAAGAAAACAAGAGTAGGTAAAGGATAAGAGCAGTTCCAGATTAAATTGAAGTAAAAAGCAAATAGCAATTGCTTTTTAGATCTGTTGATAACTGTAATACTGTCAGATTATCTGTGATTATCTATTTGTTTAAATTCAAGTATCCTGGACACAACAGCAAGTAAGAGTGCAGACAAGATTTTCTGAGGGAGCTGCTGAAGTTTTTTAAGCATCACAGAACTGTTAGCATTAATGAATAAGTAAATGTGTGTGGCCTATGTGTGAGTTAGTAGGCACACAGACAAACAGAACCTGCTTTTAATATTTTTTTGCATTTCAAACAGACTAACTAGTTTAATTAATTCTTTTTACCTTTAATTTCATAAAGAGATCCATTAAAAATTTTCTTACTTCCACATACAGGTAAGGTTTCCTGTTTGTGGCTTTGTAAAATGTACTTTTTACATAGAAACGATAACAATATTCATAACACAGAGAAGTACTCAGCAAGGAATTATTATCCTATCCCAAACCCAGTTTACCCTTATGAATATTTTGCTTTTTTCTATCAAACTAATAATCCATTTGAGCATCAACTGTCACAGTTATTAAGTCAAGAATATAAATGAACTGTAACAATTTAAGTAAAAATTAAAAAAAAAAACACAAAAAAAAGCCTAAAAGAACAAAAATTAAAACCAACAAAATCAACAGTCCAAAACTTCAAAAGCAACAGCTCAGTCAAGATTTTGTTCAGGTCTCATTAAAGGTGAAAAAAGTCAAACTGTAATAGGAAGTCTGAAAATGTGCTAAAATGTAATAACATCACTAGAAAAAAGGACATTATAGCTGTTATCTGAAATACAGCTCTCTGGTCAAGTCTAAATTAAAAAAAAATAAAGAAGGACTGCAGATATAGAATACACTGAGATATGTGATTAAAATGACATACAGGGAATCTGTAAAAAAGAAAGATAAAGATAAGGGATGTATTGGTATAGGAAATAGATGTAGTAGAACTGCACAAAATAATGTGAAGTTAGGGGAATAATCCTGGTTTTATCAAGAAATGAATAATCGCTGAGAATACAGAAAAAGGAATTCAAAGTGCTTCTGTTCTGCATCCACAGTGTACATTTCAATTGCACAGTTCTATTGTCATTAGCTCTGTAATTTGTCCATAAGGAAACCAAGAGTATAGGCTATTATTATTATCTTTAAAAAGAACACAATGTTTACAGCAGCTCTTGAATTAACATAGAATGAATGATGTTTAAAAGATCTGAATACCGATGCATCAGGATATCAGCCAGCTATTAACCAACAGGAGAAAAAAGTTGCTTCGTAATCATAAAGTACAAAAGCACTAACTTTTGTAGGAGTATATGGTAACAGCCCTTGGGTGATGAGTGATGCAGTAATAAATGCTTAATTGGTCTAATATATCCATTAATTATGGTATGAACAAGAATCGCTCTTAATTGAAACAATTTTTACTGTGTTATGCTACAAACATAAATTAAACAAATCCATTTCTTTTTACATTATTATAATTATTTAGTTTTATTTAATGAAGCAGGAGAGAAATTTCGGCAAGAAATGGAGGTGATTTTCACATCTGTTTCATTCCAATGAAGATCCTATTGGTTGTGTGTCAGAGAGACAAAAAATATTCAGCTTTCAATAAATTTTGGAATTCTGTCTCTGTCAGTTTACTTCAGGAGTTTTTCATACAAATGACAAAACCCGAAATTAATTTCCAGTTAAAGAGTATAACTATAATATATAAGTTTTCTGCCTTGGTTTTTGTTGATATTAACAGACCTGAGATATAGTAAATTTTGGTATAGGACAGGTCAATTTTACTAGAAATTACTACATTTTTTATTACTTCAAATTCATGTTTAAAGAAATAAAAAGAGGTAGATACCTTTTGAAAGTACTTCTCTATTGTGAGAGTGAATTGTGATCCAGTTTTGCTAATCTGGTATGTGGGCTTTAAAATAACAACTTCAGTTTGCCACTGGTGTCCAAGGAAAATGTGCAGTAATGACTTCCAAGGAATGTGAGGAGTTCAAAGGCATGATTTCAAGGATGTAGAGCTGAAGCATTGCATCATTATTCACTGGAGTCAATGGGAAGATTTCCCAGCTGACACAAGTCTCTGGTGCCTCCTGACGTGAAAATACAGGTGTTTCTCACATGATTTTCCTGCCTCCTTGGCTGGTAATTAAAGTCTGTATGTTGGGAATGATGGGAGGATGCATCTCTTATACACCCTTTCGACCTGCATTGGCTTCTTGGTTATTAGTCAATGCAAACAGAACATAGGACATTCCAGCATGCCAACTGCTAGTCAGGGAAGAGCAAGAAGGTAGTATCTTATCTTGAAAAATCAGCATGAGGGTAGCGTTAGCCACGAGTTGTAACTGCTGATGACTAAGTAGAAAATAGCAGTTTATATTTCACGACCTTCAAAAGTGCATGCAATTTTCCCATCTCCAAAATGAAATAGAAGCTGAAAAAAGAGTTCGGTAGTTTCTAACACACAGGACATGCTGTGGAGAATTAGAACTGAGTCACGATTTTGAGGCAGGGAGATGGAATTTGCTGAAGAATGCTGTTCTCATATGGACTACAAATGAACCAGCTGGCAAAGGCACCTTGGAGAAAGACCAGGAAGCAAAAGCTTCACTCACATATTTGTCTTATGTAGATTATCATGCTAAATTCTTCTTAAAACCACTCTGAAGTATGTATTTGGTGTCTTCACTCCTGAGTTTTTCACTCTGCTGTGAATGATTATCTCTATTTCTGTTGGTTCCTATTCTTTGTGATTTCAATTCTGTGTGTCAGTACAAAATGAGGAATAGACAGATATAGGGACTCGGTAGTAGAGTAGATATTTGTTAGATTTAATTTTTTTTTATTACATGCCATATAATGGGATTCATCTTGCTAGATTTTTCGTCTTTCACATGTTAAATTGTTTCCACTACTGGGCTACCTTGCACAGAGTTCATAGGATGCTGTGTAAGGAGGTGGTGTAGTCGCTGGAGGCATTAAGTACCACACAGCTGTAGCTCTCCAGGGCTCTAGGGAGTTCAAATCCATGAGAATTTGTGCTACCTTTCATGTGCTGTATGTGTTTATATGAGCCAGCAAAAATCCTGTATATGCTAAACATACTTCCTGACCCAGAACATGCTTCAACTCTCAGTAACATGGGTAACATCAGTGAAGAATACAGAATTACATCTTATAATTGTTTCTTCACTTTCTGTAGGCACAGTCTCTGAAAGAATGAGATCTGTATCCCGAGCTAAAGGAACAGAGAGCTTGGGCTTCCTGTTTTTCTGAACTCCATTGTAGTCTCATTTGATTTAGTGTATATCTTCAATTATTTATCATTCTTTTAGAATTTCATCTAAATTTTTTGAAGATACATATATGAATGCAGACTCTTTCCTGGAATAGTTATGGATAGTAAAGTGTTGGAGAAGTAGAAGTATTCAGGAGAATATTTTAGCAGAAAGTGGGATTGAAAGAATTCCCCAGGAGCATGCATGACAAATGGAGCAGAGCTGGGAGCTCACCTGAGATTTCCTACGTACCAGTTTAGAGATGCTAAATGCTCTATTTCCGCAGATTAGCTATGTGCTTGTTATGAGAAAACATACACCAGGTTTAAACTTTAGTCAAACCTATCTGAGGACACAGCCACACAAGTTAACACAACATACTAACTAATTTGTAGTAATTACTTTTCTATATGCCCTTACTTTGTGGTAAACGTCAGTTAAATCTCAAATAAAAGAAAGACAAGGCATATGAAATTACCATGCATCTATGACAACAGAAGCTGATGTTATCAAAACATTGAACTTTAGTCTAAGTTTGACTGCCAACCCAGACCCATTGGCTAGTATACATACAGCAGGTTTAATGATGGATTTATTGTTTGTACTGAGCTTGATCTGTATGCTCAGAGAATGACTCCATGCTCCGAGACCAGGCTCAATATGGACATGATGCAATATCTCTATGCATAGACAGAACTGCTCAGGTGGGCAGCATGCCTTGAATTTTTTACTATTACAAACTTCTACCAACCTAACAGAGAGAAATGGGAAAAAAATCTGATTTTAAACAATTGGCCATTCTTTAACTGTCCCATTAAAAGAGACTCTAGTATTGTCTTCAAACGCTTTTGATTCTTTCCCCTTCCCCAACAGTTATTTGTGCACATATGAGACTTAACAATGAGACATATTCAAAGTGGTGTTATCTCAATATTAACATTCAAAGAAGTAGAAAATACCACTGCGTGATGCAATAATAGAACCATGCTAGCACTATTATGTGCTGTAAAATTGTACATCAGTGAGATTATTGTATTTAGTGATTCGTAAGAGAGTGAATTCTTCCAGGGACACATACAGGTGTTGTAACATAGTCCTAACCTCACATGTAAAGTTACTCTGCTTAAGAGTTAATTCTATTTCAACTCACTAATGCCTTAGAGCCTGATAATGTGATTACACACAGTTTTTCATTTTTTATTAGTTGAATAAGCCATTTCTTTTCAACACCTGTCCTTTCAGCTCTGCAAGATGCGTGCTTTTAAGAAAACAGTGATAAGACATTGCTGTTACACAGTCCTCTAACCAAACATAAGGCTTGGTAAAATTAGATCCTGATTTAGATTGTTGTACATTAGTCTTCTTGATGTGCCTCTCCTGCAAAAATTAAATATCTTGCAAGAGTGTTCAGGCATCAGAGATAATCTAATCAATACACCACCTTCTATAAAGTATGTGGCTCGTGGTGCCACTTGGACTTTTAGCTTTTCTGTCCCATTAGGTTGGCTAGGAGAGTCAAAGGTATGTAGTTTTACAAATCATTATTATGAGTTTAATTCTACAACTTTCTTGAGTCTCAGGGTCTATGTTCTACCACTGAACTGGGGCACTCAAGTTGGAACATGAACCCATGGGACACTGGAAAATTAGTCTAGAAGATTAAGAGAAGGATGTTGTTGAAAGCGATGAGGAAAGGATAATAATTAAAATATTCAGTGTGTAAAGAAATAGTTACCATCTGGAACATCTAGAATGTGTGTATTTTCATTATTCCAGTTATTTTTCATTATTTCTGACCTGGTTTAGATTGTTTAAGTGTAATGCACACCTGAGTGGGAAGAGCAACTACCTGTGTAATCTCCAGAATTTCCTGTGCTTGGCATTAATTTATCAGTTGTTGGTTGATTGTGAATTCTCATTGCTTTCACTATTTGATTATTTAGTTTTTATTAATATATATGGCTTTCCTAAATATACATGAGCCACTTCACCATGAATGCCTAAAGCAACATATTATAAATTGCTTCTACCAGACTTAAATCCCTAAGCTAAGCTTTTTGTTTATATTCCTAAAATCTGCACCTAGTCTATCAACTATAAAGAGGTCAACTTTTAGAGATGAAAGTGTAGCTCAAGATTCTTCTCAGTCTTTTCTTCAATGTTTAGATGAATTTGCAGCTAGCTCTTTACTCATTAGCTTCTGCATGTCAGGTCAAAATTGACTGTAGGTTTTCCAGTTTTCATTTTTATTTTATCTTGTTTTCATAGTAGTTTTTTGTTTGTAGCTGAACTAACATGAGCAAAAGCATTCAGTAACATTTGGTCATTGCCATTAAGGTGTGGTTTTGAACTATATCTAAGAGGGCCAGTATTTCCCAGGCAGCTAACTGCACTACTGGGCTTGGGGTACGTTGCTACCTCCAGTTCTCTGTTGCTTAATGCTGATTCAGTTGCATCTCTTGGGTTTCATTGCCAACAGGTATACACAACTGAAGAGCACGGAATGGATATTCTTATGTGGTCTTCTAGAAGAAATGAAGAAAACAAATGGATGTATGCAAATGTCGTCCTCTCCAGTTACAGCCCTTTCAGAGTTGTCTTCGAAGCTGAAGTGGGGTGGAGTGAACCCACAGAATTTGCTGTTGATGATATTTCTTTCACCCCAGAATGCGTTGATGGAGGTATGCTACTACACAAGTATATAAATTTTCTTTTGAGAAGACAGAGGAAAATTGTGGCATTTCATATTTCAATGTGTATCATAGTAACAAAATTTGGAAATTTTTCTTTTGAAATTGTTGCAATATTGCTACGTTTTTACTTCATTCAAAAAGGTAGAGAAGAAATGGGCACAGCACAATCATGCACAGAAGTATATGTTTTTCAAGGGAAAGAAAATCATGTAAAAGAAAGAAAGATTAAATTTATCGTATATGACCCTCATGTCAAATTTTTTATTAGCTCATTTTTCCCTAAAGGAAAGGAGCCATTATACCCGTCAGAGGGACTCCTGTCTGTTTGTTGGCTGGATAAAGATATTTGCCCAAGGATTGTGTTATAACTGTGTATGAGTATAACTACATAGGAGTAATTACATCAACTCGGAATATTACTGTCATTGAGAGCCTCATAGTGTTTATATTGAACTATACTTGAGAGGGATCTACCATCACTCAACTGTATTGGTTTTCTCCTGTATGAAAATGGTCAGAGAAGGCCATATCTTGTGGTGAAAGAGTTTTATGAGTATCAAAGTAGTTCACTGTTATTTAAAAAAAAAATCGTTAGTTATTTTATCTTTGCTCTCTTCATAAAATATAGCAAAGCAATACAGCAAATTTACCTCACTCTTAGGCTCCTTGAGAATTTACAATCTGACTTGTGCTACACCAGCTAGGTTACTTGAAATGCATAAGAAAAACAAATAGTTAAATTCTAATGCCTTGTAAATTTGTGAGAAAGGCAGTGGTTTACTCTGCAAACAAAAGATAGCCTATGAAAACAGTATCAGAAGAAAAAAATAAATATGTGTGCAAATATAGATTCTCTTAGAAATTATTCCTTATTTTGAAGGGTCAAGAGGGGAAGAAAACTAAAGAAACAGAAAACCTTTTGTCTAGGTCTTCATTTATAAGGAAAAACTAAGAATGCTTATGGCTAAATAAATGCCAACATGAATTTTATAGAAATGTTCTTGAATAACATTTCTTTCTGTTTGTACAGCTCTTACGTGGGATGTTTTTATTGTGATGACTAAGCAGCTCCTTGGAGAATTAATCACATGCTGATTAAGGCTTAAAATGAAATATATTCATGCAGATAGTATTTGCTCAATCTCAAACTGAACAAAAATTTTGTTTATTTTCTCTGAATAATACCACCAATAGGCTCAGGCAAATACTATTTTGGAATGTTCTTCAATGAGCTGCAGACTACATGCATAAACAGGTGCTTGTTCTACCCTTATTATGTTAATCACATCTCTTAAGCAAACGTTAAAGAATTACTTAAGCAATTTCATGCTTAATACAGCATAATAGGGAAATATGCAAACTACATATATTTTAAGAACTTGTAACTAACTGCAAGATCTAGGTCCATATTTCAACAATATATATAAATCAATTTTAAAATTTAAATAGAACTTATACTTTGGTAATTTATTATGAGCAAGCATGAACTCAGAGAAAGGAAAAAATCTTCCATGAAAAGTGTATGTTAAGGTATCATGAAATAATCATAACTAGAGAAATAAGATAATTTTTATGGGGCAATGTTTTCTAATCACCTTCTTTTTCTCTAGAGACTTTCCAGTTGTAGAATACTTCAATCTGTCTAACTTGTATCACGCTATCTGTCTTACAAGTATGGTATATCATAAGGAACGCCTTAAGGAAAATGGTTTGACTTCCATTGGTTACTGACAGTTTGTTGGATAAGTCAAAACCCCATACCTTATCTACACAGAACCACCTGAAAAATAAATCACAGTCTTAGCTGGTCATCTAGGCTCTTTGCCCAGCTGCAGAAGGGGCAGATGTCTTCAGGAGTCAGCTTATTTCTTTTTATGGGAAGCTGGCAATCAGCCCAGAATTAGTTCTTACAAGCTGCAAAACTTACAGGACAGAAATGGTAGTTTATCTTGCTCTATTCTATATTATATCATTTTTATCTCATCTGAAAAAGAAACAGGCTTCCTTGGATAGCTAACATGTTTAACTTAAATGTAGGATGCTTGTCTTCATATTCACTTGTATGCTCCAGACAATTTCTGAATATATTTTTATAGTGATTTCTGGATGTATAGGAAGGATCTGTACATGAACTCTTTAAGAGTGGCAATAGTGGCATAAATAATAGTGACATAAATTATATTACCCTAAAAGCAGCCTAGGCAAGTCTTCTGGTACGGCAAATAATGGATACCCAAGGAAATGTTTTAGAATAAAAAAGGAACATAATAAAATCCACTCTCCTCCAGTCTTTCCCAATCTTTATTAATTTGGCTTAGAGACTTCCTGAAACTCTGAATATCATGCTTTCTGATAGCTATCATCTGATTTTTCTTCTATGAATTAGCCAGTTCTTTCTGAATGTACATAAACTGTTAGACATTATTGGAAAATCATTTATAATTTAGTTTTTATTTGAAAAACATCAATTGACAAACTTTGATTGCAGGAGGTCTTTTTCATATTCTTTAATTCCTGTCACATTCCATCCCTCTCCCGTGCTCTGCTGTAGATCATTTTCCACTCATTTGAATCCATTTCTTGGAATTAGAGTACAGAGTATTCTACCGTCACTACTATTTTCCTTTATACCTCCATTCATAAATGTGCCATCCTAGATCTCTCCTCCTCAATCCTGATGCTTTCACAGTTCCAAATTCTTCTAACCAACCTGTTGTTCCTCACTTAATTGGGCATCCAGTTTCAGGCATCCTATTTTTACATTCTCCACAGAATTTTTGCCTCCACCAGCCATTCCACAGTATGTGCACTGACAATTCTGCCAGTTTCTTCCATCATTCATCCTGCTTGTCCAGTTTTGTGTTCACTTACTGTTGTCCTGGGAGTGTATTTCTCAAAAAAAACCCCACCAAATTCTAATGGAAGACAATCTCTTAATAAGTTTGTGACTTGATACATATCTCTTCTCCAGACAAAATATATTTAAATGCTGTTACTTAAGAGTGTGCTGACTTTTTTTTTTTCCCACAGTTTTATACTGTCCTGGGAAGAATGCTATCATAATAATCCTTGCTGGCCAGGTAGGCCAATTTTCTGCTTGTGAAGAGGCAAGAGAACTAAATAAAATCTGTATAATAAAATAAACCACAGCAGTTTAGGAGGAAGAACCTACCTCTGACTTTTTAATACTGTTTCTGACAAAAAGCAGCTACTTAGAAGGAGTTGCTATTTTTTAACTAATAACTGTTGCTGAATAACCAATTAAAAATTCATATAATAACATTTAAAGATATTATCCTCAAAGAGTATTACCCTCACTGCCCTGTAGATATTTGAGCAAGAAAATTTTTCTTTAACAGAAATGGTGGGAAAGTTTACCTACTTCACTGTCAGTTCTGCTTTGATTTTTGCTCATCATGTTTATTCAAAGACTAGCTCAAGGAGAAGTGTATTACCTGCAGTACAGGTTTTGTGTAATGTTCTTCCTTTCAGAAGATAGCTTTGCTGCTGCAGATCTTTTTACTCTCTCTGTATTATTATTTTTCAGCTTGTCTTTAATTACTTTGGGTTTCCTGAGGCAACATGTTCTAAATAGAAGCAATCACAATTCAGCTGGTTGGGAGCTTGAAGCAATAACACATTACCAGCAGCTCTAATTCGGCAGTGGTTTTTATTTGTTTTTAAGTAGTCAGCCCTCATTAGCTATGAGAGTTTCTAAAGATCCAAGAATATTTCTCAACATTTAAACAAAGTGTGGTCAAGCTAGTTCCTGGCGTCCCACAGAAGGAACTTCTAGCTGATCCCAACGCACAGAGAGAGCAGCAGTGCCAGATACCAGTGGCATGGGGATCTAGCTAAGTTCAGAATTAACTGCTTTATGTTTCACTTTATTCAAAACGAATAGTGTTGACACTTTAAGCTGAATGTTTGGGCTACATCTTGGGTATAAACAAGAGTGCAAACATCCTGTAGTGCTCGAGGCTCTGGGATGTTTGAGAAACCAATATATGCTTTTCCACCACCAGTCATGCTTTCAGTGTTTCTCACCAGTTCAGTATTAGCATTGCTTAGTGAAATAATTAACAACTCAAACAAGGTAAATCCAAATCTGTTTCTTTCTTCTCTTCTACTTCACCTTTACTTATCGTTCTCTATTTTTTAATTCGTTTTTAGTCTGTTTACTTTCGTAATTTACTTCCTGCAGCTGCTCAGTCCTGGTTGAAGTATTTTCCTTCTTCTTTTTTGTGAATTACTTTTTAACATCCTTCATTATTTTGTTTTAAAGCTTTTTCTACTTCTATGTTTCTTTTTTTTATTCATTCCTTTCTTTACAAAACATTTTTTTTACAGTCTTTTCAGCCTATCAACACTTGAGAAAGAACTGCCAGTGTTAGAAATTTCCCCGTGGACCCTACTGCAGCCTCAGTTTCACCTGAGAAATTTATTTGCAGTAGAAAATATTATTATGCAAGGATACACTGGAGATAAAAGGGCAACTAAAATAACAAAGAACACTCAGCACAGACAGGACATGTTGTCACTAACACTGTGTTACCCAGTCATGGTGGAATTGCAGAAAAAACAATGCTTTTTCCCAGACTGCTGTGAGTTGTTATTTTTTCTAATGTTGTTACAGTTCTTGACTTTACTGCACAGGTTCTCAACAAAAGGGTAAAATTTGCCATTTAGGTACTGAAGTACAGTAAAATTTCAGTGCTTGTGATGGCTTTCACTCACATGAAGAGTTTACTTTGACGTACTATCGTCCAAGTATTCCCATTTCTTTATAGCAAAACACAAACTAGACCTGCTGTAAAGGTTTTCAGTAACATTTACGTTGAGCAAGCTTTCACTTGTCATGAAGAAACAAATAGAAGAAGCAAACCAGAATCTGTGAATTAACAAACTGGATATGGCTCTAAAAGCCCAAGCCACCTAGCAGTTTAATGGTTTTTTTTTAAAAAAAAAATAATGCACAGAGACTTCCC